GTCCACAAATAATTTCACTTTCACCGTGAACTCTTTATGTAAATGAGCAAAATAGCTTGAACTTGAGAACCCTCCAAGTTCATTATCTTCACTTATCTTTACATTACTCAAAATTTCATCTTAACAGTCTAAGTTGCTCTTAACTATATAACTTTTGAGTGCAACCAAACGTGATTTGAGAAAACATCAAATGAATCATAAATCTGAGGAATTATTTCTAGTACAATATCCACAAAACATTACATTGATCTGATATGCAAACTACTCTATGATTACATTTTTAAGTTCTAAACCCATTCTTCTAAGAATTTTGGAGCTGGTTCTTTCAAAAGTCTCTGATCCAAATTTCGCCATTTTAACATTCAGGCATCAGATAAATAATAAATTAACTGTTTGCAAGATCCAATTCCTTATTGAAATTCTTAGCAATGACAATAAAGGAGTTGGCACAACCACTGTATCTCCCATCCGTTCTCCACCAAGCATCTTTAAATCAATTCATTGCCACTATCATCTACACCTCGAATTAAGGGAGGGCGATTGGCTGACTTTTTAATCAATACTGTATTAAAGGAGTTGACTTTCATTCAACAAAAGATTGCATCTACTCAAACAAAGTAGGTGAAAAATCACCATAAATTTATTTCTATTCATCTGCTTCCTCTAGCCATTTTATTAAAATTAAGTATCACCTTTTATAATTAAAAAGTAAAATAATGCCACCCTTTTATTAAAATGTATGTCACTTTGATCAAAAAGTGAAGTTTCTCACTCAAAAAGCTGACATAAAAAAAAAGAACACACTAAAAAAGTGATAGAAATTCAAAAAAGACACAAACCACTAATTGAAACATTGAAATTAGTTCAAAGTGACAAGAATATACGAAAAAAAAAATGACAACCACTGTCCCTTGCCTCCGTTCATCACTAAACATCTTTAAGTTAGTTCACCAACAAAACGCTAAGCATCTTTTAAGTCTATTTGCCGTCATGTTTATCTACAAACTTTAATTGAGGTAGGGAGACCGACTGACTTATTAATCAGTACAATATTAAAGTAGTTGACATTCATTCAATAGAAGATTGCATCTACTTTAACAATGTAGTTGCAAAATCACCACAAACTCATTTCTATTTTTCTGCTTCCTTAAGCCATTTTACACAGGGCTCCAATACTTTCACAAAGCTTTTCCTATGTAGCAATGTAAATAAAAATAATTAGGTTAAAGCATGTCAAAACTTAAACACGATTACACGCTAAACATACCCAACGTATTTATCCTACCGATGGAAGATATATGGCACTTCATGAATTTTTCTCACTTGGACAACGAAACAAACAATTAGTAAGCAAAATTGATTTCTTCTATTTTTTAGTTAGCAAGTAGCTATAATTTGTCAAAAGAATTTCCAGCAAAATTTGCAGAACAAAAATAAAAAATCCAGGCAATAAAATTCAATAAGATGAAGAAATGAGATAAAAGACGGGAAGACCTTGAGCGATGTCTGATTTTTGAGAAGAATGTGAAGAGCCCATAGCAGAAAAAGTGAGACGAAATTCAGTTTTCGACTTGTTTGGTGCCCCTAAAGCTAAAGAAAATGGTGGTACAAAATGGGACTTGGATGAAAAGTTGGATAGAAAGGTGAAGAAGCTCCTGCCATGCTATGTGAGGTCAAATGGTGGTATCATTGCAGCAAGATACAATGATGAAAGGTGATGATGTTGGAATCTTCGTTGTTAATGGCCACCATATCACGACCTTTTGCCTGTAAAAACAATTGAGATTGCACCTTCGGCTCGATGGATCCATTCACTAGAATGGAGAGAGCGCGAGAGAGGGGGAATTAAGAGGATTAGGGATTAGTTTTAAAATTAATGAAAAATGTATTATTTTATACTTTGTAATTATTTTTCACATGATTTTTCAAAAGTTTTTCCCATATTTTAATTGTAGATCCATTTTATTTCTTAAAACAAGAATATAAGTTAAATGCACAAGTAATTTGGGTCTCTTGTTTAGATCAATTTTGTTGTTGCTTTTTAAAGGACTGAGACCCAACTCAAAAAACAAGGAAATATTTTTTTGGATTTTGAAATTTTAATTTTTTATTTTATTTTGTGGAAATTACACCCATACAAGTCTTTAAAGATCAGATTTCAAGAATATGGTTTATTCAAAAATCAGGTTTTTAATATCCTCTTACCCCCATCCCATTCATCCAATTAAAATTTAAAACCCTAATTATTTTCTCCCTCTTCTCCTCGTCATTTCTCTGCAGTCTCTCTACAACCGCCGTCTCCAGATTAGAGGAGTTCATCGCTGCCACTGTCATTGGATCACAGTAGCTCTCTCTCTCTCTCTCTCTCTCTTTTCCTCCACATGGTCGTCATTGCTGGAGCACAACGGAGCTCGTCACGGTCTCCCTGTTCTTCCCCTCCTCTTTCTCTATCCATCTCTCTATACTCTTCCTTGCACATGGCAGCGATGTAATTGTAAATTACTATATCAAATTTATTACTTATTTAGAATATTGTCCACTTACGAAATTTTAGCATCGCATATGATACAAAATACTTAAAATTCACCTCTTTATATAAACATAAAACACCACCATGTTCCTACCTAGATTGTTGAAAAGCTTTGGAATCAATCATCATTGGAGAGTGCTTTCCTATTTTATATATGAATAACGTTAGTTATCCCAACTCTGAATAAACTTCAATCTATGTGGAAAAGTCGAGAAACACCTACTTTACTTATGATTTAATAACGCGTTACAATGAAAATAAGCTGGTTTGCGCTTTTCATATATTCACAGCCACATTGTCAGAGGGCATAATATTAATAAGCTTCACTTTTGTCTCTGAAAAAGTAGAGACATTTGCATGTAAAAATGATTTTGTTCCTTTGGATCCCCACCTCAAAGATCATAGGTTTTAACTTTTATACGTTATTTTTTTTTTTTTTTTTTTTTTTTTTGGTTCCAATTTTTTTTTCCCCTTTTTTTATAAAACCAAAAA